AAATATTATATTTGTTTTAAATATATATTTAGCATTTAAATCAGATATTTAAGAAATATTTTTTTTCCTGTATTTCATGTAGATCTGACGCGACAGATTTTTATATATTTAAGAAATATTTCGATCGATTCGATTTTAATAAATTAGGCAAACTAATTTTTTCATTTATTTCATTAAGGTGAAAAATCGCAAAAGTTTTCTTATGGGCAGTTGTTAAAATAATCCATTTTTCCCATACACCAGGATTATTTAAATTTTCCCATCTCTAACGTTATTTTATGCAGCAATAATTACTTTCAATTCTCAAGTCTACTGCTGACAATTTACAACTGAAGATTAATAAAAACTCTCATTTTCAAAGTTTTTCATTGTTTCTCGTACACGAAACAAGATACAAAATAATAACAGGAGTCGAAAAAGTTGTATTATTAGGTGCTTAAACCAAAAAAATTCAAAATTTTAGCAGACCAATAACAAGTGGAATTTTTTATTACCATCAACAACATTGAGACAATTCACAAAAAAATCAGCTCAATTAAAGATTAATAAAAATTAGGCCTGGGTAATTCAAGGAATTTTTCGGAGTTGGCGCACTGCAACGCAAATGGCTTGGTGCGCTAACCCAACGCACCGATGCAGTAACTCAGTTCCGTTGCTGGGAAAATGTTGATGACTTTTTTTACATGTCTTTAGATTTATTCTAAGGACCATTTATCAATAATGTTTTTAACATTTCTTCAAAAATTCAGAATTTTTTAGTTTTAGCAAAGTTACTCTTTTCTCTAAATGCTTAATTTTCAAAAAAATCACTTAAAAATACTGACTAAAATCTTAAGATATTTTTCGCGAAACATTATGAAATAAATTTTATTAGAACATTCCTTGGTCGCTTTGTAAAAAGTTTTGAAATCTCTTTCCAGCTTCGAATTTGGGACAAAAATCAAATAATTTTCTACCAAAAAACGAACTGAATAAGCGAAAGTTTATAATAAATTGTTTGGAAAATTTATCACTTCGCTTCCTCTGACGATTGTAGTTTGTTAAAAAAAATGTGTTTTTTTAGTTTTGACTGAATTTTTTTGCTTTGTACTCAAAACGCGCTATTTTGTAGTTTTACTTAAAAATACTTCATTGTATATACTTTCCTGACTGTGTTTCAATTCAAAATCAAATCTATTCCTGGGTTTCAGTCATTTATTGTCTCTATTTATTAATCAAAATAATTAAAATTAAAAAAATTTAAAAAGTTAAAATTAAAAATTAAGCCTTGGCAGCAACAAGGCTTAAAGCAGGAACAACGCTACATATAAAAACTGATGATGGTGGAAAAATACACCGAAACGTATTTTGATTAATAAATAGAGACAATAAATGATTGAAACCCAGGAATATATTTGATTTTTACTTAAAAATTCTGACGATCTGGATGTATTTTACGCAAAAAATTACAAGATATATTTATAGGTTCGTAGGAATTTTACAAACACTTTTTTCGGAGTCGAATTCGGGACAAAAACGAAAATAAGTTTATCCCGTTTTTCCCCGAAAACTATTAAGGTTTTTGCAAAAACCGATCACAAAACTAAAAGTTTTTAATCGAAAACGTAAAAAATATACTTACTTTTCTGATGATTTTCTTCTTTTCTGACAATAATGGAGTTTGATAGTAGTCTGGTAATTCCATATAACTTTTTTCATTGTCGTTCTTTGTTTTTAAAAAGAAGAAATAATTCTATTATAAATTATACATTTTTCATCCTCATAACGTTTTTCTCTTTTCATTATCTTAATGGAACGTTCAGTCTCAGCTTATAATTAGGGGTTGCAAATATTTAAAAGGTGTATTAATTACTTTCCAATTTTTCAAAATTAAAAACTTAAGATTCAAATAACCTTCTTAAAATCAATTCAAATCAATTGATTTGAAAAATTTTAAAATGCAGTTTTTGAAACATTGATAATTGTTTGCAATTGCAGAAGTGCAATTGTATTGTGGTGTGTATTCCCTAATAAAAAAAATTATTTTAAAGATAAAAGTTTAATCTGTTAAGATTAAAAAGAAAAACTGTATGCAAAAATAACGAGCGAACAAAACTTTTGAGTCATATTTAATACTTTCTGGTTGGTCGGTTGAATACCTATGCTTTAGTAAAATGAGTCTCTTGCACGCGTAATCTTTCCTTCATGCAACTTTATCATTTTTCCGATTCAACTAAATAAACTGCAGCAAAAAACCGTACCATATGTGACCAAAAGGGAGTAGTTCATTCAAAGGATTAATCCATTTGTTTTATCAAACATAAATCCCAGACTGGTTGAATGTGCTTGATCAAGTATTTATAAAGGTTTTATCACCATTACCCGATAGCCATTATCACATAATGTGACGCGATCGTATTAATTGTTCAACAAATACGCAATGAATATTAAGTGTTCGTGCATATAGGTCACATTTTAGTGAGAATAATAAATCCGGCTTTCAAATATACGTTAAATCAGTTTTATTATCAAAAATACTATATAAATTACAGTACACCATTTTATTGATGCTTTTTCAACTTCAAAGTGTCCAAGTATGGCGAATCTTTGTCGTTGTGGAAGGGTTTGTTGTGAATCTGAGGTTGAGTGGATTGTACTATACCCGCGGGTGCAAGAGGCAAACTTGGTGGGTTGCGATTAACTGAAAAACATATTTTAACTCTTAATTCAGTTGGAAGAACAAATGCTTTCTTTGATTGATCGGCCTACGTGTTATTACTATCTACGGGTAATTTGACTGTAAAAAGGAAATTTTTACCAAGCTCTTCATCTTCCTCGTCCACTTGTATCGACGGTTGTGCAACTTCAGAAGGAAAGTCTGTAATGGTGATATTTTTTGGCGGAAGATCAGCCTCATTTTCCACCACAACTGCATCCGAATTGTTGGTATCGTCTGGTTTGGCTGCAGATGAAAATTTCATAAAAATGTACAATCGATTATTCCGAATATTTTTTGCTTACCACTTTCTTGCTCAATGGTTATGGTGATTTTGATTGGTCTTGTTGGAACAGCATAGACCACCTGAAAGTTATTCTTATTAAATAATTAATTCAGAAGATAAAGAAAATAAGCGTTTATAGTGCGCGGTTCTTGACGAAATTGTGAAAACGCTTATTTCAACTTAACATTTTTCAATAAAAGAATTTGGATAATGATTGAAATTTAGAATTTCTTTTATAAATTGTTTTTCTTTGGAAAAATTAGATTGATTACAAATTATTTTTGCTCTATCATATAGACTTTTTACGA